AATGTATATTGGCCGTCATGGAGCAAAAATTCCCAAAATTCTGATGGAAAATGGTTACTGGAAGGTCCCCTGGCTGATTTTTAGGGTACCACCCATAAAATAAAGGAATCATCTTGGGGCTTGTTTCTGCAGCTTTAAAAGTCCAAAATATGAAATACTGACTCAAGTGTTCTGATGTGAAACTATGTGTCAATATCACAAAGATTGCCTTATTCACAATATTTCCAGTTTTGCCCTGAAATCGCATTGGATGCCTTTAAATGTACTTCCTGACAGCATGTGTCTATTTGCGCCTCAACCCATAGCTCGGTCTCTCGTTATGTACATGTAAGATGCAATTTTTAGTCTCATTGGGACTTGGATAGTCATACATCAGAAAACCTCTGCTTTCTAACAGCTTAAGGTTGTCTCTTCACATTTCTACCCGCAGCTTTTGTATGTTACTAATGATGCCTGTTGTTGCAATGGGACTCAGGTAGTGACAGAAACGTTTTGTCTTTAGCGTTTTAACCGAGCACAAAATCTGCAATTCTTTATAGAAGAAATATAGAATAACTTTATTGCACGACAATTGCACATGGTACAATGTATGGCAAACTACATAAAGAGAGTAACAACAATAGAATAAGTGTGTTGAATAAGACCTAATGTCGAATAAAACCTAACATATCTACTAGTATATCTTAATTATTCAAATAATAAGGGATATCACAAGTCTTTGATAAAGTGTTACAATCGAGTGGGCTAATCACAAGTTTCGGCATTATATTTAGGCCACAGCAAGTAATTTTTCGTTTCACGAAAATGAATTTATGCCTATCTCTCTAGCCGATACAACAGATTTTAACAGCCAGAACAAATGATCAACCAACACGATTTGCTCTTTGGCGGGAATAAGAATATTTTTAATGTCAGAATGGGATCAGCTCCCAATAAAAACAGTCGTAGGAAACCATGGTTCCCCACACTAGGCAACTCGCCTGGTGGTTCCCATGGGAATCGATATACACAATTTCTGATAGGATTTGTTATGTAAAGATAACATGTCAAATCTACAAATTTTCATACATCATAATACTAGTATTCTATTGTCAATCAAGAATTTTTTCCACCACTTAACTTGGTAACAAAGGTTGATAATTGCTAACTTTTAGACACGAAAAGAAATATGTGTATACATATAAATAAATGGATACATATATGTATATATAATATATATATATATATTTGGTATACAAACACCGTAGTAAAACGTGACGTATCTAACTACGTGAAGAACTTGGTAGACATGTCATGAACATAACTCGGCTGGTATATATAAGGAGCTAACTGACTAATATCCAAAAAAAAAAAGTTGATACCCTGAACATGGAACTGGACCATAAGCATAATTAAATGGGATTAGTCAAAACTAAAATTAAAAAACTAGGTACAAATGTTACTTGGTATATGAATACTGCAAGAACTTGGTGAGTAAAATTGATACAACCGAACAAATTTGGTGTATCGGTAAAAGATAACAAAACAGTTGTTAATAGGAACAAACCGCCTGATATAGACGAAAGTAATGATTAAAACTTAAAAGCACAATGACTGCAGGATATAATAAACTGTGCAGGTATCCCGACACGTGGTAACTCACCACCGAGTCAGTACTGTTGTTACTAGGATATTACCACTCGCCACTGAGACATTTTGTTACAGTATTACATACGAAGATATTTCCTGAATGCGTCTGAGGACCATCGCCCTAACCTCCGGATGGTTGTATCAGGAACACCTTGCAAAGCAGCTCGGGTTGCTGCCCCAATGCGGAACGAGTGCGGTGTATATCTGTGTGGATCTAGGTTTGTCTGAATGACGCAAGCATGAAGCACTTTTGCAAAGTAGTCACTGGTAACTGGAGAAGCGTTTTGTGTCAGGAACAGATACCCCGGTCCTCCCCCCTCAACTGTAGATATTGCCTGATGTTCCCTACTGGGCAGTATCGGCTGTCCGGCTGCGCCAGAATAGAAATGGTAGACGGGTTGGACGCCTTGCTATGCTTGTACGTCTTAAATGTGACCACGAATGAAGTAGGGTTACCGTGTGCATCTAACTCAGCGTGAACGTCAGATATTGTCAACGTGTGTTGGGCTTCGCGCGTGATGGCAACCTCGCCGACGCGAGCGAAAGCATAGTACATAAATAGGAACATTGTCTTGAACAGACAGTTATCGTATTCCTTGGGAACTATGTGTGTTAGAGAGTGTATCAATCTGTGGAGGATGGGAAGGGTGATAGGCAGCCTGCCGTCTGGTGCGTGGTTCCTCTGAATTGAATGTAATAACTTGCGGACAAAGAAAGTTGAGGTGGGATCCGTAAGGTTTTGTAACTTATGGATGAAGCTGATGGCAGAAATCTTAGATGTAATAGAAGAAGGGGCGAAACCCTGTTGATGTAGGTATGCAATAAATCGGCCTATCAGCGCTTCAGGAATGGGCAATTGTGTAGTGTCCTTGCCATGAATTGCTACATTGAACTGACGGAAATGTTTCCACGCAAGGCGGTACGCATTGACCGTGCCTGGCGCTAGGGAGTGCAGAAGTAAGGTGTCACTGACTGATCAAGTTGCTGGGCTGGAGATAGGGTGGGATGTGCGTCGGGCACCGGTCCATGTGGGGATATCTCTCCCGAAAGAAGGTCCACCTGCAACCGGGATAAAGAATCAGCCATGTCATTCCTTGACCCAGGGATGTGTACTGCTTTAAACAGGATATTAAGACGAAGGCTTATAAGTACAAATTTGCGCACCAGTGGCATGATTGATGGGTTTTTGGAGGTCTGTCTGTTGATAATATGGACGAGGGCTTCGTTGTCCGTGTGCAACATAATGCTTCGATTTGACCACTCCTTACCCCAAACAAAGATAGCTACGACAATGGGGTAGAATTCTAGTATGGTTATATTTATGTTCCGGAGAGAGTGGGGCCAATCTCCAAAGAACCACGCAGTCTGAAACACAGCGCCATATCCCAGAGAACCCGCTGCGTCTGTGTATAGGTGGAGGGTTGTATTATTGATAAAATGATCATCTATGAAAAAGGACTTTCCATTAAATTGCTCCAAGAATTCACTCCACATTTGTAGATCCAGTCGAGCCCCTGTGTCTATATTTATTTGTGTTGTCTTACGGGACTTTCTTTTGGTTAGATCAATCAAACGGCGGAGAAAAGCGCGACCCGGGGAAACTACTTGACATACGTGATTCAACAGTCCAACCAGCGATTGAATCTCTTTTAAGGAAGCCGATGAGCGCTGGATGAACTCTTGAACTGCATTCTTACACCTATATAGCTTGTCTAAGGCAATCTCGCCTCCATTGCTATAGTATCAAGTTCAATCCCAAGGAAAGACATGATTGTATCAGGGTGGAGAGTTTTCTCCCCAGCCAGAGGGACCCCTACGTCTTGACACATGTCGCAAAATGCTGCAAGATCCCGTTCACAAGACGCGTATGTGTCGTTTGCGAACATAAAATCGTCTAAAATGTGAGTGGGGTATCGTATGTTGAGTTTTTGTACTGCCACCCACTCTAACGCGGTGCTGACTGCTTCAAAATAGCACAGGAAGTGGAGCAGCCCATTGGCAAGCATCTATCGTAGTAGAACCCATCATTAAGCTGGAACCCCAGAAGGTGTTGATCGTTTGGGTGAACTGGGATGATTCGAAAGGCGGATTGTATATCTGTCTTAGCCAAGTAACACCCTGGACCTAGGGTCTTGATATGTCTGATTGCGGCATCAATATTAGCATACGAAGTAGAAGCGAATTCCCGAGGGATGCCGTCATTAACAGAGCTGCCGGCTGGGTGGGACAAGTCGTGTATCAACCGATATTTGCCAGGCGTCTTTTTTGGCACTGCGAATAATGGAGACAGGAATATGTTTGGGAAAGGGGCTGTCTTAAAAGGACCAAGTATTCGCCCTGCCTCGAGCTCGGATTTAAGTTTTTCTCGGATAACTGGGGACTGCCAAGAATTGGAGGGAATGAAGTTAGGTGCCGGGCGATGCCTGGGGCCAAAATAATCCAAGGCAAAGCCGAGTGTAAAACCACGAATTATGTAATCTCTTTCAGGATTACTGTAGCCCTCTAAATAGACAGCTAAGCGGTTAACGTCCACGGGGGTTGGCAGTTTTGGGCTGGGTGCTCTTGGGACACGTGTACTTTGTGTGCAGGCCGGAGCAGGTTGGGCATGTGTGTTTGTAGGGGCAATTTGTCGCGTTAGGACAGTATGATCCGGAGATGTGGTAACGAAAACAATAGCCTCGAGGCAGAGAGTTGTCATTGCCCTGTGAGTGTTGTTGTCGGGGCTTGGATGTTGTAGGAGACGAGCCAAACTGGTTGAATGCATCTACGTAGAGTTGCATATGTGGCACGTCCAGGGGAGATTTGGGGTATTGTGCTGAAGCTGCCTGAAGAGCACGTCATACTTTCCCCACTGAGCACCTCGCTCTGCGAGGGATCTGATCAGGTGTGAGTACATTATCAGTTGGGGGCTACGCGCGAGATGCTTTTGGATATATATGTAGTGGTATACAGAAAAAGCCAGTGACCACTGAGACAAAGTAAGGTATTGCTTATTGCTCTCTGAGGGGCTCGCCAGTGTCAGGGTTGGTGATCCTTCCAACGAGTCCAAGTTGACTGTGTACTGAGAACGAGGACGGGAGTTTGGGAGTAAATTTTTGAAATCAACGAACTTGTCCTCCCAGATCTTGTTTTTTATCATAACTGAAACTCCCGTGTCTAGGGGGAGATGGACACCCGCCTGCATCAAAGAATTGTCCATGCGATAAGCGATTGAAGACGGATCACCAATGGCTGACACTGGCCTTACATGTATCTGCCCAGAGCTACTGACTGTACTAGTAGCGTTACCTAGCCCTGTTATGTTGGAGGCCAGAGTGGTGCCCAGTCCCGAGAGACTGGGAGATGCTGCTGGGGTGATGGCATGCGCAGACCATGCGGTGACAGGCCGAGCGTCGCTGTCGTTGAGTAGATAGGGACGGTGCTGGACGAGGTAGCGACACTTGTCGCTAGGATACTGTTCTGTAACAGCGACACACTTGATGCAGTGGTGACGGTGTTAGGAGCAGTGGTTACTGCAGCTGTTACGGTCGCGGTTGTCACCCCTACTGTAGCAGTTCCAACTACGCCCCCCTGAACGCTTGTAGGGACTGCTAGTGGGTGGGCACTGGTCTCAAGTCTGTCCATGAGTCTCGTGGTGACCTCCTGAAGGTCGTGCAGCTGCTTCTGCAACGTTTTCATGGTGAGTTTGGGTGGCTTCTGCGTATGTCCATCCCCGGTCGTGGACTGCTCCTCCACGGTGACTGATGTAGACTGTCTCGCCGCCCTCCGTCCGCCTGTTCTGGTAGGTGGCATTGCACGGGCTCAAAATAGAGACAAAAGGAACAGAATTAAATCGTTGGGTAAGTTAGAAATAGATCTTCAGAGATAAATAACTGAAGAAATGAAGGATAATCGTGATTGGTGCATCAATGGATACATGTGGGTATAAGTATATATAAGTATATCGGGTCATTTTGAAAAGGAAAGAAATAATAATAACTTGTCAATAGCGTTGATATGTCAAGAAAAGGTGGAACTCACTGGTATGTCCTTAGGTAACTCACCTTCAGGAACCCAGCGGTGGTACAATATGGTCGTGACCCTCGAATACGAATTGCTCTGCCCTACTGACTGGCAACCGACAGTACTTCGACAATTAATTTTTTTTTTTTTTTTTTT